ATTTCCACATTGTAACATAAGAATATTAGGATTATATTTTGCACCGAATTTAGTTAATATTGGTCGAGGAGTTCCTGAGATATTAAATTTCACATACAAGTGGAGGGTTTCACGGCTAACTGTCCAATGTTTATATTGAGTCTTATGCACCCCTTAAGTACCATCTCGGATATGAAATTTAATGCCAAATTGACGAATTTATTTATTAAGTTAACGCATTTTTAGAAGTTTGGWACATAACTGTTATATAAGACRGATAGTTCCGTGGACGATCAGGTCGAATTAATCAGAACGGACCTGGATTTATACCCGGAACTGTCAATTCAGCACCTTTGTTCCAGATTGCATCAAGAATGGTTTTGCCGCTACAACAACAACGGAAGGATAGTCAATTGGAACTTAACTCGTCCTCTGGATTATTTATTTATGTTTATGTATGTAACTCTGTAARTACTACGATTAGCTTTAGGTGCTACAAACAACCGTAATGTGAACAAAACCAAAATACTCTGTAGCAACATGTTGTAAGGGTTCCCGTTAGAGTTAGAGTTCAAACTGATTGGCACTCTAGAAATTATAAACGTGATTTGGGTAAAGTTGTAGATAAATGCATAAAATCAAGAACAGCAGAATAATATTTTCATTTTTATAACTAAATACCGCACACAAYTGTTAARAATAATAAAAAATTTCTAGCAAGTTAACAATAACATTTATTGACAGTGAACGCGCTGAATTTCTCACTTTCACTGCAATCACACACAACTGCAGATGGAAATGTAGTTTTCGCATGTATTGTGCGTGCCAAAAGTTTGTGGCTTACTTATACTTTTATGAAAAAAGAAGCAGATATTTTGTCGTGCACAAATCTCCGTTGGCGGTCAAGGTCAGCTAGCTCAAGATCGAAGAGGACCACCGAACTCATTAGCACTGCATTTCAGTATCACGTTGATGACAACATCTTTTGTATTGTGCGAGTTTCGCATTGTCTTTAACTCGTTCATGCGCTTTAAATAGATATTAGTGAAGCTGTTGCTAGTTGCTTGAATTTTAAATTGGTTTCTTCGCTACAAACGCAACAATGTTGTGAACAAATTATAAACCAGTGGTTGTTTGTGTGATTTTGAGCCTTTATTTGTTGATTCAATGTTTACAAAATATTTTTATATTATAGTTGCGCCGAATT